GGAGGCTGTGTGTACGGTGGTGAGTAAGCCGAGTGTATCGGTGAGTAAAACTGCGTCGCGCGAGCGAACAGAGGGGTCGGGGACGGGAGAGCGCGCGGCGTGGTCGCGATCGGAGTGGCGAACACCGAGACGGTGAAACGGAGCAGGGGAGAAAAAGGTGATCGGCGAGAAGAGAGAAAGAGAGGAAAGTAGACCAAGTTGGTGGAGCAAGCGAGAGGCGGATCGATAGTGAAAGAGAGACGGGATGATATCGCGAGGAGAAGCACGCACACAAAGAGAAGGGTACCGTGGTGGACTGGGCGGGGAGACTGAACTCGTAGGTTGGCGGGTAGGTTGGTAAGTAGGTAGGTAGGTAGGTAGGTGAACCACGAGGAACACACGGTGGACGTTCGCTTGTATCGCTGGTAGTCTGGGTGGATCGTCGGTGCGCTCCAGGTAGGAAGGTGTGCGCGTAAGGATAGCGAGGAGCTCCCCTGCGTGTTAACCGTGAGAGACGTCGGGAAGGTAAGTGCTTTCCTCTCTTTCAGCCACGGAGTAGCACCACGCCGGCACGCGACCTGCCCTCTCCCACCCCGTCTTTAGTCTCACGATCTCTCTCCCTCTTCTTCCCGTCTTTCCCTCGCGTCTTCTTCCTTTTGCTATAGCGGCAGCGGCCTCTCCCTCTAACGCTCCTCGATCGTTTCCTCTACGAGGTTCCTCCTCGACGTTCTCCTTCCCACTCTTTTGCTCTGTGCCGCGAAGGGATTACCGCGGTAGTACATAGTGTTGGTGCACGACTCCTACCAGGTGGACACCGACACGCCGGAATCCTCCCATCAGACGCGAGTATATACCCTCGAGAGGAGAGAAAGAGAGAAAGAAGCCACGAGAAGTCGGCTGTAACGTTCGCTATCTCCTCTCTGTCGTTAATCGCGGTGTAACCTCTCCGCCAACTAATTCACCTTTGTAACTGTACCGACATCCCACCGAGACCGCTTTACGGATCATTCGTTCCTTCTTTCTGTTTCCTTCGAACGTGCAAACGTCTTCCTACTTGATTTCCTTGATACGAGAGTCGTTGAATTTTCATTTCCTATTTTTTTTCTTGTCTGTTCCGTTCGATCCGATCGATAACACGGCAGCGGAAACGTGTAACGTTACCGTCCTCCGATTTGTTCTCCACAGTCGTCGCTAGCGTACTCGTCTACCCAGTTGTCGCACGTGCGCCTTTGTTTTCATTTTAGCAATCACTTTCGTCGATAGACCGACTCGTTTCACCTTCTTCCTTGTATTTCCGCGATCCTCTCCTCTGAGGAACAAGACCTGCTCCACCAGCACGTTCAACAACTCATCGTCAAACTACTCTTATCTTGTTCCTCGTTTCTAGGTTATTAATTCACCTCCGTAACTGTACGACTACCCCACCATCGAGCCCTTGGCTGCCGGTTCTCGGCATTCCGCGACGACGGTCCGGTTGTCCTAGGACCGGGCCAGCTTCTCGTTACGGTTTCGTTCACGGATCCCTACTACCGAAACGCTCGTGGCTCTTTTCGACTCGTCTCGCAACACGAGTGAACCAGTCGGACTTGATAGCGATCGATTGTCATCGAAACGTTTTCTTTTAAAGAAAGCGAAGCAACTTTCGACCTCCGTGGACTATGTTCTATCAATTTTACGTTTCGTGTTATTCGGCATCCCGATTTCTATTTTTCTCATCCAGCTTTTTTTCCTGTCAGATCGGCGATTCTTAATTCAGCATTGTGGCTGCTAGACACCAGGAAGTCACAACATAACGTCATTGATCTAGTTGAGAGAATTTTTTGAGTCTTGTCAGAGTCTCCAGCCACTCGCTTCGGAGTTGCCAATGAAGTTGAATCCTATTCTGGCTCTTTGAACAGTCCATTAATTCCCAGCCGATGCTTCGTCGACATCGAAACCGGAGACACGCTGTATTAATTAGCGAAGCTGTAGCTTGGATCGGGCGATGATCATCGCATAAATTACTCATCCTTGCGTCGCCATATTTGGAGGAAACTTTATCCAAGTCCTGGCTTTCTGGGTCAATCTCTGGTTAGCTTCTTAGCTTTAGGTTGCTCGAGACGCCCGAGAAACTAAGCACGACGAGTAAATCGAGGAGGCAGTGTAGGTATATACGTCTCGAGACCTTAGATCATCGGATCCTCGTGGATCTGCTCGCTCCGCCTTGTTGCGCAACGTTCACCGCCGTCAGTGATCTCGGGCACAGCAGTCCTGACACAGTTACCTGGTCAGAACGCTACGGCCAGATTAAAGTAACGAAAAAAGAAGCCAAGAAACGTGAGCCACTCTCGAACACCCTTCTCCCCTCCGCGTCGCCGTTTCGTGACTTTTTTCCGATCTTTTGGTCAACGAAACGACAGTCCTGCAATATCTCTTCCCCCGAATGATCTCTTCTTTAGAATTCGCTACCATCTTTACGTTATATTTTCACAAACCATTTTTCCAAACTGTACGATAAATTTTATATCAACTTTTGATATATATATCATAATTTAATATTGTATAATTATCGTTGATTAAACTCTTTGTCAAATATAATGTTATTATTATTATTATTATAAAATTTCTTTCCCACCCTTAAACCCAATATTATCACATCGACTGCAAGCTGCAAGGCGTAGCTTGTTGTCGCAATTTTCGCAATCTCTCTTGTGGCCATACACACCGAAGGGCGCTAAATTGGCGTGTTGGTGTCAATCAAAGATCGACGATCGTGATATTTCATACTGACAAAGGTGGGTCGGAATTCGCGACCACGTCGCGACGGATTCTTCCCTCTCGCATTCTATTCTGTACGATGACACTTCCCGCGGGGTTGACGCGACACGGGACGTACGCGTGCACGCGGTGAGAACCCATCATTAGACGC